TTGAGGTTTCAAAAGCTCATGCCAAGCCCAGCCCCACCCCCTTCTCCCTTTGTCTATGGATGAGGATGTAGAACTCTCAGCTGCTTCTCTGGCACCATGTCTGCCTGTGTGCTGCCATGCTTCCCACCACAGTGATAATGAACTTACCTCTGAAAATGTCAGCAAGCCCCCAATTAAATGTTTTCCTTTTCTAAGAGTTGCCTTGGTCACGGTGTCTCTGCATAGCAATAGGACAGTGACTAAGACAATGAACATGGCCCTCTGTAATCTCGAGGTGTCCAGGTGACCCCAGACTGCAGCTGGCTACCCAGGTGAGCACCTAAAGGCATCTACCTCAGGCTGCCAACCTGGAGAAAGAACAAACTGCCAAGTTTCAGGAGAAAAGACCTGAAGTTCCAGCAGCTCCAACACATCGGAAACGAAGTTTGTTCTCATTTCCCAATGCAGAGGTGGCTGGCAGGCGAGAAGGTGGCCCCTCTGCATTAACACCTCTCATCATGTCTGCTGGGTTCAGAGCTGTGCTCATCATCTGTCTGTGTCTTCTTGGTTAAAACACAACCTTTGGGTCACAAAGCTCTTCCATAAAAGCTGGAAGATATCTCTTCTAGTTTTTGAGAGGCGCGCGCGCGTGTGTGCATGTTCATATACATGTGTATAAGCACGTGCATGAGCATGCATGTGTGCGTGTGTGCGTCCCACAGGACAACTCCAGGTATTGTTCCTTAGGAGTCATCCACCTTGTTTTCTGAGACAGACTCTCTCACTGTCCTGTGGGGTTCCAGGTTCAGCCAGGTCGTCTGGCCAGGGAGGCCCCAGGGATCCCCGTGTCTCCACTTCCCCAGCAGTGGGATTACAAATGTGGGCTACCACGCCCAGCTTTTGACATTAGTGCTAGGAAGGCAATGCAGGTCCTCATTTTGCACAGCAGACACTTTACTGACGGAGTGGTTCCCCAGAACTTTAGGCTCTCCAAAAGCGAAAGTGTATAGGAGTATGATGTCGGAGAGCGGTCCAGAGTCCCCACAGTACCCAGTTCTGGGGCTCCTCTTCGTCAGTAACAGTACGACAGACCTGCAGACCTGCGTCTCAGATCAGAACATCTTCCACGGGGCAGCGCTTCCGACTTCCCCTCACGTCTCATCTATGGACTCTGAGAAATGAAGAAGTGAAATCGGAGCTCTGCCCGCACAGAGCGCCAGGAGGAAACGAGTTCCCCTTTTCAGAAGCAATCGGGAACCCTCCAGTCACACTGTGACCAGCTGAGGCTTAGATCAGGGGCTTCTCCAGAACAGATCCATTGCCCAGCGTGGCTCAGCGGCAGAGCTGGTGCTGAGCAGGTCAGCTGCCCCCACCCCCAGTCACATGTCCAGCACCATATGGGGCAGCAAAGATAGCTCAGTGGTTAACAGCACACACTGCTCTTCCAGTGGTCGGTTCTTAGCGCTTGTGTCCACAGTCTCACAATTAAACCTGCATGTTAAAGTATATTTATTATTTTATTTAAATTTTTAAAAAATTCTATGTGCATTGGTGTTGCGCCTGCATGTGTCTGTCAGATCCCCTGGAACTACAATTACAGATAGTTGTGAGCCGCCATGTGGGTGCTGGGAATTCCCAACTGAATGCTGGGAGAGCAGCCAGGGCTTTTCACCTTTAAGCACTCTCTCCAACCCTGATTTATTTTATGTGTATATATAAATGTTTGCATGTGCCAGGCAGTAGTGGCGCGCGCCTTTAATCCCAGCACTCAGAAGGCAGAGGCAGGCGGATCTTCATGAGTTTGAGGCCAGCCTGGTTTTCAGAGCTAGTTCCAGGACAGTTAGAACTGTTACACAGAGAAACCCTGTCACAACACCAAAAAAAAAAAAAAAGTCTGCATGTATATGTGTACCTTGTATGTGTCTAGTGCCCAAAAGGGCCAAAAGAGGGCATCAGATCCCCTGGAACTGGAGTTACAGGCAGTTGTGAGTCTGTGTGTGGGATGCGGGGGTGGGGGAGCGGGGGAATGGGAGGGGGTGGTACTGGGAAACTAAATTGGTCCCCGACAAAAGCAACAGGTACTCTTAACCGCTGAGCCATATCTCTAGCCCAAATCTTTAAAATTTAAAATGAGAGTTGATGAGATGGCCAGGCAGGAAAGCTCCTGTGGCACAAATTTGACAGCCTGAGTTCGATCCCCGGGACTGTTGGGGACCGTTGTATTTCCCCTACCATTTGAATGCTCACCATGCAGACAGCACATCCAAGTAGGGTCATCTTGCTCCTGGGACTCCTTGCTGAGTCTCTAGGTACGAGACAGAAGAAATCCAAGGACAGAGCGAAGCAGAAGAAATCCACTTCCACCAGAGATTGCTGCCTCTGGGACCAGAGAGATGACTCAGTGGTAAAAGAGCACTTGCTATTCTCTGGGGGACTCAAGAGTTCGGGTTCCCAGAACCTTGCTCTGTCTTCTGGTCTTGGCCAGCTCCCCACTCACATGACACATAAAATTAAATTAAAAGAGAGAAAGAAAGAAAGGAAGGAAGGAAGGAAGGAAGGAAGGAAGGAAGGAAGAAAGAAAGAAAGAAAGAAAGAAAGAAAGAAAGAAAGAAAGAAAGAA